CCATTGGGTACAGAGGCTTTCACATTCCCCGTAGAGGCAACAATGGACGCAATCCCTGGATTCTGCAAGTTTCCAGATTTCTATTGGGTATCCTTTGTCAGCTGGGTTACACTCATCGAGTCAGAACAGCAAGACGACTGACATTGAGATTGTGCTTTCGTCCTCCGGAGGGACGGTTCCTGTATCCGCCTCTGCCACGAGATGCCTAGGTTATCGTCAGTGTGTCCTAGATTGCTTAGTCTGAGGCGTAAGTCCAACTGACACTAGGTTCGGAGCTTTTTGCTTGAAAGCGGGAGTTGTTGTCTTCGGTATCATGTGAATTGAAGTTGGGTTTGTTGGATCTACCGCCTCTTCCTCGACCGAATCTGAATCCCCGGCCTTCTTGCTGGCCTCTATTTTGCTGTTTTGGTTTAGCCATGGCGAGATGATGAGACGCTGGTACGCAGAGGGTGAAGTGTGGTATAAAGAGAGTGTGTGTATGTATGTAAGAGAGAGAGAAGGAGGAAGGAGGAGTTGAGGTGCCTTGAGGAAACCAAGCTTTAACAGAGAGCGTACCCACGATCAATTTCAATTGAATCTAAAAGACTATAACATATATCTCACAAATTGCTGAGATCTAAATCATTCACTGCTCCTGACTCCCTTATTTTTCTCTTCCTAGTCAGCCAGTGCAGAATAGACTGAATAGACTGTCAATAATTGTTGAATATTGTACAACTCCATGACAATTTGATTGTCTGTTTATCGACTAATTGACCTGTTTATCTCAAAATAGTATTATCATTATTGTAAGTTCAAAGCAAGCTGATTGTGTTGTCGTAGATCAAGTATTCAGACAGAGGGACCGTTGCTGTGTAGGAGAAGTATACAGATATCACGCTAAGCCACTTCTGGACTGTTGCATGCCTTATTTTTCTGTCCGCCATCTACATGCTGTTATTATTAGACTCATTTTCCATCCCCGTCGCAGAAAAGGCTCTCGCTGCTCTTCCTCATCGGCCTCACCAGCCCAGTTTGTTACTTAGAATCAAGTCAAACTTTAATTCTATTCTCAAAGGAATGTCTTTTTCTTCTGGAGCCCTGCGATCATCCAGCCTCTCTACTCGAGCTCAATTGCTGTCGATATTGCATCCCGCGAGATCATCACCGGGACCCCACCACAACCACCACCACCACCACCACCACCAACAGCTGCAGCATCACCGCCGCCCCTATTCTTCCTCCTCTTCTAAACCTGACTCTTCTTCCCCATCTTCCTCTCCGTCCTCCTCCTCCTCCTCTTCAAGGTCTCAATACAGCCGCTCCCAATTCAAAATCCTCCCCTTCGTGACTATCTTCGCCATTGGCACCGGTTCCTACATCCTATTGGTGAAATCGCGCACAGGCGTCCGCAAGCCGCAATCCAATCAATAAAACACCACACCACCTCAATAACAAGCAAAATAAAACATGGCCAACACACAGAATCCCCCAGCCGTCCCTCCTACACAACCCACCCCTCCTCAGGCCTCGACGAACACCACCCCGCGCTTCTCTCCACAGGATGTCACCGTCGTTTTCCTGCTAGGCGGACCGGGCAGCGGCAAGGGCACGCAGTCCTCCAACCTAGTCCGCGACTACGGTTTCATCCATCTGTCCGCAGGCGATCTGCTGCGCGCGGAACAGGTCCGCGAGGGAAGCCAGTACGGCGACCTCATCCGCACGTACATCAAAGAGGGCAAGATCGTGCCCATGGAGATCACGGTGGCGCTGCTGTCGAACGCCATGGCCGATGCGTTGGCGGCGGGTGCCGGCGCTACCGCTGACGGCGGGAAGAAGAAGGCCCGGTTCCTAATCGACGGGTTCCCGCGCAAACTCGACCAGGCCGTGTTCTTCGAGGATACCGTCTGCCCGTCGGAAATGACTCTGTTCCTGGACTGTCCCGAGGAGGTGATGGAGAAGCGGCTGCTCAAGCGCGGGGAGACCTCGGGGCGTGACGACGACAATGCCGAGTCGATCCGCAAGCGGTTCCGGGTGTTTGTTGAGACCAGCATGCCCGTTGTGCGGGCTTTCGAGGAACAGCAGAAGGTCTTGTCCGTCTCCGCCACGGGGACGGTCGATGAAGTGTATTCCCGAATCAGGGAGGGACTCGAGAAGAAGGGTGTCCAGCCTATCTGATCGAACTGTGTTGACTTCGGCATTTGACCGCCAATTGTTTCCGATCTTCCTGCATCTTCCCCGTCGAATTGAATATATGTCTGTTTTTTGGAAGAAAATTCATGTTTGTGTTTTATATAGACATATCCCATTTAGTCCACCCTGCCAGAAACAAAGCGTCCCACGTCTTAACCTGTCATACTAGAGCCAAAGAATATACAATCTCTGCCTCCAACATATCGCCAGAAAGGATAAACAAGACATGATTCGTGATTGATTGATCTGGCCCATTCCTAACTACTAACATGCATCCAGGGCTTCCCGTCTCTAAACAACAGAAGTAGCTACCATATGAACATTGTAGAAATGGAAATAAGAAAAAAGGACGGGAAATTCGAACGAAAAAAAGGGGGGTCTCCTGGTTCAGATGAACAAGACAAGTAAATAAAGCAAAGGACACCCCAATCATTACTTTTCTTCTTTTTTTCATCTTGTGGCGACAAAGTCTATTTGCTTTCTCCTGCCTCGCTGCAATCCTTGTTCCCCTCAGCGAGTAATCTATTCAGCACCTCCAACCAACTCAACCTCCCGAGCCTGCTGTGGTTGTGAGGGTTGCGGCTGCTGTTGTTGCTGGGGGTTACGTCTCCGGTCACCGCCCTTGGCTCCTTTCTCGCCCGACTTGCCCTGACCGGCTTCCTCAGCCGCGGCCTGCATGCTCTCCCGGATATAGCGCTCCCGCTCGGTGCGGACGACACCCAGCACACTCTCCAGACTGCGGCGCCAGACCATCAGACGGCCCTGCACCTCCGCCCACTGCTTCTCACCGAATACACGGTATGTGGCCCGGTGCACCAGGAACTCGGAACGCAGCTGCGACAGCTTGCCCTCGACCAGACCAGCCCGAATAGTGTCGATGACCCACTTTTCCACATCTTCAACGGGCACGCGCAGCGCCGAGGCGATGGTAGCATAGGGGAGGGAGCGAGAGGGAGTCGAAGCCGCAAGCGAAGCCAGGGTCAATAGGCGCATCTTGGTCTGCAGAGCCTCGGCGCCATCGGCCAGAACACCACCAGAGATGGAGTCGAGAGGGGTGGCCGCGACGAAATCCTCGTAGGCGTCCAGAGTATCGGCGGTGAAGATCTCCAGCAATTCGAAAAGGGTGCTGTCGCTGGAGCGAAGAGCCTGGATGGCATCGGCGGCGGTCAACGAAGTGAAATCGAAAACACCGGGGCTCTTCAGGGCGGAGGTCAAGGCACGGACGGCCAGGTCGCGCGCTTCCTTGCTGGAGGCCTCGTTGGCGGGGATCGTCTGCAGGGCCTGCACCACATGAGTCTGTGCCAATTCAAGATCGCCCGAAGCCTGCGCGGCATCAGCAACGGCAAGGTGCAGCTTCTGAGCATCCTCATCATCCAACTCCCAGGCGGACAACCAGGTGGGCAGCTGAGCGGCCAACTGGGGCTTCAGAGCCTCGAAGGCGTACGAAGAGCCGGACTGGCGAATGACGGCGACGATGGCCAGGAGGACGTGAAAACGGCTGGAGTCGGTGGGAGCGAGAGTGTTGAAGATAGTGGTCAGGATGGAGATTGCGAGCGTGGGGCCAAACTGAGGCGAGGTGGTGATAGGTTTGGCGAGATAGGTGCAAATGCGGGAGAGGAACATATCCGGGTTGGAGGCCTGGTGCACCAAGTGCACGATGAGGTTGTAGGCGGAAATGATTTCTAGTTGTAAGATTGCAAAGGTCAGCCTTACCCAGCTCCTTCTCTTTGTCTCGATCCTCCGGGGATTCATCTATAGCAACCCGCCCACACAAACTCACCCTTCTCTGGGGCCGCATTCAACACAGCGGCGGCAGCCACCAACTTCTTCAGCACTTCATCGCGCTGTTTGCGATCGGGCTCCTCCTCCGACTGTTCTTGCTGGCGAAGAGGCTCAATGAGGGGAGCGATTTCGGATTGGAGGCTGGCGCCCTCGTTCTTGCGGAGGGCGTCAATGTACTGGGCGAACTCATCGGCGAGTTCGGTGAAGGTACCCTCGATCAAGAGGGTGGTGGTAGGAGCGGGCATAATGGGCGTAGATAGGAGAGGAGAGGGAAAGGGAGAGAGAGAAGAGAGAGAAGGTCTAGCAAAGAAAAAGAAGAGAGGGGCGGAGAGAGTCCCAAGAGGCTATCGATATTCGATAAGTTCGATGATGCCAGGAAGGGCGAAATTTCAGTGTGGGCAAAACTCTTGGCGAATTGGCCCTTTTTGGTTGGAGAAAACAGCTGACAAAGAGACGTTCTGGAGGTGGACTGAACTGATTCAAGCCAACAACAGACGTATTACTTTAATAAATTCACCATTATAAACAGATCTGCACATTGTTTCCATGACTATTCAGCACATTTTTAGAGAAGGGGAATTTTCCACAATCTCAGGCTGACCACGGGTGGCTGCCAACACCTATCACTCTACAGGCCGGTTTATCGTCCAAGGGCATTGCCGCAATGATTAAAAGTTCAGAAGCTACCAGCACGTCCAGTAATTGATCGGGTCGTACCCATGAATTAGTCAATTCCTAATCGCCAACAGGTATTTGCAGGCTCCAATTAAGGACAGTCATGAAAAGCGTATAGTGCATACAGGATCATAATATCACAAATGGCTCAATTACGAGACATGAACGCGGGGGAATATTGCGATTGCGGTGCAGTGAGTCAAGTGTTCCGAGGAAAAAGTGCGGAAAACAGGCAACGAACAGGCATTAGACAGAGAAGTCAGCGGTTGAAGTATTCAATCTCCGTGGTCGTCTTGTTCGCTCCATGGTCGGCATACTCAATGGATGTGATAGGTATGGCCATGGTCGCAAAACATGGCACACCACCCCATTTACAGCAGGAGACGAGCCGCAAAGAAGAGCACGGTAGCCAACACACCAGTGGCGTGCTCTCCAACCAGGCGAATGGCAGCATTGCTCGCCTTAGCGGTAGCACTGCTACTAGTAGTAGTGGTGGCCGTGGCAGTCGACCCAGCCTGGTTCCCGGTCGCGCTCGCCGTGGCGGTGGAAAGAGCGGAAGAGGTAGTGGTCGATGAGGAGGTAGAAGAGGCCGTCGCATTCAGTGTACCGCACTCTTTCTGGGCAGCAGTACACTTTTCATCCTGATCCTGAGTCGAGGAGGCCGCGATGCACTGCTTGTAGGTTTCCTGGCAGACAAAGAAGGGGATGGTCTGCATGTACGGGGACACATCGGCCTCGGTACCGTTGCTGCAAACGCAAGAGAATTGAAGAGTGGTCTGTCCATTATCGCATTAGTCTGGTAAGGATTGAGAGCGGTGGGCCTTTTCAGTTCATCGAAACATACGGAATCACATGAGTTGCTATCGGCGATTCCATCACAGATACTCGGGCAGCTGTTCCGCTCAGCCAGACACCAAGCAGCTATGAATCGTCTCCATGTTAGTCAATTGACCACTTAGGGTGACGAGCGACCTCAGTAACGAACCTTTGTCAGTAGAGCTAACGTGGGCGAGGTTGAAGCCCGCGGGGAAGGTGTAATTGTTGCTAGCAGCAGCGGCAGCCACCAAGGTGGACAAGACAATGGCGATGGAGCGCATGGTGGAGAAAGTGGAGATCTTTGATTATGTGAGAAGATCGACAGTCAATTGATAAGGTTATTGAGGATGCAAATAATCCTAACCGGATGAGATTATTAGTGTTAATGACGACGACGACGATGATGATGGAGAGAGAAGAGGGAGGGAAGAGAAGGGAGAAAGGTGGAAGAAGAGGAAGAGGAGGAGGAGAAAGAGGGAAATAAACAAGAGGGAAGGTTCAATTCTCTCCAACAAACAAGTCTTAGATTATTTTGTGTTAGAAGGAAAGGACCTATGGAGGATCAGGAATGCCAGTTTAGCGTCAATTCTCGTCGAAAACGGTAATTATTCGAATTCAACCAAGGATCTTAGTTTAAGACTTGGACTTGGGTAGTAGGACTGTAGGAGGTTAGGTGCAGACTAAGGGAGATACCTTGGTTACGTTCCTAGCTAGTCCATGGTCTTGTCTACTACTACTATTATCACTATTCTTCTGCTTCTGAATTGGTCCCATGACTGTCGGACTTGAAATAGAAGGATTCATTATCAATCAATCCTTCATTTCCGTGAAGAATTGGTCTACGACTACAAGTGATGATACTGATGGATAATAACATTGCGAGGAACTTCAAGTCAGGCACCACATTTGTGCTAGCAACTAGCAACTAGCAAAGGACATAGTATCCACTACGTAACCTACCTTAGTCTACTACCTAAATTACTGAACCCACTTTATTTGTTGATGGCCAATCGATTATTATTCACTCTACAGAGTCTACGGAGATACCTACAGAGCACAGAGCAGAGTACAGTTGAAATCAAGGAACCACCGGAGGTACCTAGTGTAACTCAGCATTCATCATCAGCTGTTGTTATTATTATTATCATTGTTGTTGTTGTTGTTGTTATTGTTTTTATTATTCAGGACAGGTCGCACAAGGAACAAGAAGCATTAGAGGAATAATACTGATGGATCAGAGTCATATCATACCATTCAAGAACAGAAGAATGCCGTTGTTGCTCATGTGCTCAGAAGTCGTTGGGTACCTGAATGTATACCTGGGGAAGGACAACGCAGGTAGTCATTATCCAGTAAATTAGCCTGTAGCAGATAGATAGTGCCAGAATCATTGACTATCCTGTCCATAGAATAAATACTACGGAGCATACAGAATAATAGATCTCGTTATTATCTTTGTCCTCGTCACTAGATGACTAGTCTTGAATCAATCTCGGAGATAACATTCCCAAACAGAGAACATGCCCGCTACATACTAAAGTACCTACGAGTGGTACGTAGGACTACTAGCACATTCAGTCTACTACCTTCCTTATGAAGGTCGATATCGGATTCAATTATGATATTCTGCTCAGATCCCATATCTTGACAGATGATCATCTATCTGGCAACTGATTACTCCAGATAAACTGAAAAAAACTGACGATGATCAATCGGCATTATGGTTCTTCATCCGAGTTGTAGCCGAGGTTCGTTGCTGCTGTTGGACACATCGAACAGGCACTTTTCTGGATGCATTTCCTGCCTTCTCGTCCCTCTCACCGTCAATTATCTCTTTCCTTGATACAATCAATCCCTCTCAAAATGGCTGAAAAAGACCACCCTCCCTCCGCTCCTCCGCCAACGTCCTACATGAGCGAACCCACGGCCGATCCCGCCCTGCTTGATCCCTTTCGCGCCATCGGCTGGTCCAACTCCCTCCTCAACTCCCCAGACTACTATCCCATCCGCACCTGGTCTCGACTCCCCAAGCCACACACAGGCGAAGATGGCTTCTTCGCCGGCACACTGGCTACATCCTCCACGATCCCGCACTGTCTGACTCTCCGCCGGCGCAACCTCCCGCCGCCTCCGCAAGAGGTCCCCGTCTGGCCCAGTCCCACCGCAACCCCGTCGTCGGCGCCTTCCCCAATTCCTCCGGATATCATCATGATGGTGGATCTGGCGACGCCGGGTGTGAGTGGCCATCCGTCCACCGCTCATGGCGGCGTCGTGGCCACGCTGCTTGACGAGGCCATGTCCTTGGCCGTCGCCATGCATGCTCCGGCCTCCGGGGACCATCCGCGGGGTGCCATCTACACAGCGCAGCTGGACGTCCGCTACAAGAAACCCCTCCGTGTGCCTGGCCTGGTCGTTGTCCGCACGAAAGTCGTGGCTCGGGTCGGAAGGAAGTACTGGGTGCGTGCGCAGGCGGTGCAGGAAGAAAGTGACGAGAACAACGGCGGCGGTCTCGGGGGTCATTTGGAATGGGCGAAAAAGAAGACAGTCGTGACGGATGCCATGGCATTTTGGATACAAACTGCTCCTTCGTTGTGACCGTCATCTCCACTCCATATTCTATTTCTAATGTATATACTCCGTATAGAGATATATATGTACATACAAAGACATTCGTGCGTAGATTCAGTGGCCTAAGGAGAGAGGGGGAACGATGCAGGGGAAACCTCGCCTACATCTTCGACTTCCGCTGCCCGATATTTCGGCTAGCGTCCACCACCAATCCCACTTGGGTGCTCAGCGCAACAACATCCCCCTCCTCATCCAGAACCACCACGTCCAGATCGGTCCGGCCGTTCCGCACCGACCTGGTCTGCACTCGGCTATACAGCCACTCCACCCCGCTCGCCGGTAACCGCTTCTTGAAGTCGATGTTCAGCGTCACGGTCGGGTACCAGTACTTGGCCAGCTTTCCCTTCGCCGATTCCGTCCCTGCAGCGTTATCTGCATCGTCTCCCTCCTTCGTCGCCTTGCCCATGGTGTCAAACCCATCCAGCGCCATCGGGAACATGTCCACCAGAAACGCCACACCTTCATTCGTCCACCGCGCCTCCGTGTTCCCACCTGGCCGGAACCGCGCCCACTGGTCGACCACCGGCGGCTTGCCCAGCGCCGGATCAGGTCCGTACAGTTCAACCTGCTGCGACGCCCGGCGGAACTTGGGAAACGGTGCAAGCAGCCGAACCCATTGCCCATCTTGACCGGTCTCCCGCAATGCTGCAAGGTTCACGCGACCCCGAGGCCCCGACCCGGGAATCGCCTCAGGTAGCAACGTCCAGTTCGAGGGCGCCGAAACGCCCACTTCAGCCGTCGCGGGGCTCACCGTGATGTAGCCCGCGACCTTGACTTCCAGATTTTCCTCGTCCACAGACGAGGCCGACGACCCAGTCTGTGCCTTCTTCTTCCCCTTCTCACTAGGCTGCAACAGCGCGACATGTATCGTACTGGTTCGAGCCCCGAGCTTCGTATCCTGCACCTCCAACACAGCCGGCCCGACGGCCGTGCGACGTAGAAACGCAAGCTGCATAGAGATCGGAGTGGCAGTGGCATCGTACCGCCTGGGATGTGTGTGCGCGAAATGTGTGATGGCCAATCGGTAGAGGACAGCTGTTGTATATCCACCGTTGGGAACTATACGGTGTCAATCAGCTCGCAATGATCTCAAATCGCTATTATGCAAATGTAGGAGACGTACCGGTACCAATGCACCATTCATCCCGCAAGACGGCCGAGTACCGGTGGGTATTTACAGGAGTCACTTTGATCGCCTCCTCAAAGGCCTGATTTGCTGCGGGGGACGCCATCGCGATGGGTTGTCGTTACGGCCGGAAGAGGAGTCGACACTTTTATAAATTGACAGATCAGGTCAGATTAGGCCAGCCAAGCTGTTCAGAGAAATCGAAAGTTCTGTAAAATAAAAGAGAGGTTGGAGACATGCCGGAAACCGTAGCTAATGTCGCAGTTGATTGTCAACATTAATACGTCGGCCATGCGCTTCGGATCAGGTCTGACCAGACCTCGGTTCTTCGTATGTTTGGAGCTATAACGTAATTCCTGGGTGAACCGCCATCCCGGGCGAGCCGCCACCTTCTGTATCCCATATAAAATGGCACTTTTCAAGGCTTAGATATCTCAACCACAGCTACTTATGCTATTATCAAAGTAAGATATTTAGAATATTTATAGTTTAAAGTATATGAATACTCTTTCTTAGGATGCTAAAATGTTGTTCCTCTCTCTTAATATTTAGAAGTTAAAATTACCAAAATTACAGGCGTATTTTATGTTAGCTGAACATATACATATGCTAGGAGGCCATAGATTATAAGTATATGACTATACTATACCATACACCTAAATTTGGCCCCCTGTAGATATTTGGGTGTTGAGATATCTAAGCCTTGAAAAGTGCCATTTTATATGGGATACAGAAGGTGGCGGCTCGCCCGGGATGGCGGTTCACCCGGGAATTACGTTAACAGCCGAACGCTGACTAACCCGCTACAGTTGTTGTCCAGTTGACCAGTTCACCGGAAAAACTACGAACTGAGAGACTTCGACTCTCATGGAGATGTTCCTGTATGTGCCATCCGTGTTCTCGCATTTTTTTATTTATTTTTTATCTGTAATGGAAATTCTCCTCAAATCCCGTATCCAGATACTCCGTTCATTACGCCCGCTGACTTCTTTTATCTTCAACGCTGCGGTGTAATTAATTTATCCCAATACATCCAATTGTTGAGCCATTTGCATCGTACCCTCGTAGATCGATCGAATCAAAAGAAGAATCTCTGTGCTTAGTGCGCTGGTGACGCATTTGCCAGTCTCTCAAGGCAAGAAAGGACACCTGTGAACAGTCGGGAGTCAGCGAGACATTCTACATCGCTTATGATCCAAGCATGGCACGACAACACTACTTACCAGTCACTCCCTGCGTCAAAGTGGCCTTGGCTTCTGTGCTGCGAGACCCCAGAGTGACTGTCATCGCATAGCCAACTGCTTTTGCACTTTCCAGCTTGTTAGCCCACCGGAACACTGGCTCGTCGTCGCGACCGTCTCCGATGGCCAACAAAAAGTCCGGCCGCGCAATCTGCTCGTCCTTCTGGCTCGCATTGAGGCAGTCCCGCCATACCAATTCCGCCGCCGAGGCCTTGTTCGTATTTGCTGGTCCTACCACGAGTGCACGGTCAATGAGAACGGCATGTACCCCCTGACTGGCACATGCATCGTTGATATGACCTGCACACTCAGACGCCAGCCGAGAGGCAGCTTCGTGGTCTTCCGCCGAGCCATAGTGGAACACGAGGGAGCAGTGGCGTTTCTCGATCCAGCTGCCCTCCGCTCGTTCCTGGTAGTAGCTGAGAATCTGACTGACGCCTTCCTTCCAGGCGTCCGTCCGCTCCTTGTTGGTCAACTTGAGCCATTCTTCGGTGTTCGGCTCTCGCACGAAGCAGCCATTCTCCGCGATGAGCCCGAGGCCGGGAACTCGTCGGAACAGACGTTCCATCTCTTCGGGCATTCGTGAGCTCATGACATAAACCACGTTCTTACTGTCCTCCGTCAAATCTGTCAATGTGGTAATGGCTCGCTGTGGAGTCGTGACAATGATGCTCTTGGGAGAACCCCATGACGCAAGAGTGCCCTCATAGTCCACAATGATCAATCGGCGTGCGGATTTTCGGTACATCTCCTCCACTTTGTTGACTGGCAAGCGCGGAACAGCCATGATCTCACGCGAAGACTGTTCATTCCAGACACGTTGCAACTTCTCATTGAAGGACTTCACCCAGTTCCCTGTCGAATTCCGAAGGACGGCTCGGCGAAGCTGCTCCCACACTCGTTGGCGCTCCCCCTCGCTCCTGGTCAGTGCAGTATGGATGGCCTCGGCACATTGTCGGTAGTCCCAGGGGTTGACAAGCAGCGCGTGGTTGCCGAAAACAGACGCACTTCCAGTGAACTCGCTCAGAATAAGAGATCCGTACTTCTTATTTCCGTATTTTCCATCTTGGCAATACACAAATTCATGACTGGTCAGATTCATTCCTTCACGCAGACTGGTGATCATCAAGGCATCCGCCACTGAGATCAAAGCCAGGTATTGCGGGAAAGCGAGATCTTGTTTGAGGAACACCAGCGGCTGATGAGCAAGCGTTGAGTGCATCGAGTTAATTCGCATGGCGATGTCTGAAATCATGGCTTCGAGCTCCGGCTGTTCCGTGGTGCTCGTCGCGACTTGAATCAGAACAACCTGTCCAGAAGGGTCAGCGCAATCGCATAAAGGGCGCATATGGCAGCCAACAATGTACTTGCCTTGTCTCTCCAGTCAGGGTACGTGTTTAGGAAGAGCTCGTAGCTCAGAAGTTTTTGCCTGATTCCGCGAACTGAGTCAATTTTGTCGCGGGAAACAATAAGTCGTTTCCCTTCATATCTCTCCGAGATTGTCTTCACCCATTGTTCCACATCGGCCGCCTGTCGTCGCTTGTCCCAGGAGGTTGGATCGATACCGATGGGAAATGTACCCACGTTAACGAACCGATCCTCCAGCTCGAGTCCCTCGTTGGTTGCCTCGACGCAAAGGATGCGACTACAGGTCTGAAGGAAATGTCGACAGTACTCATCGGTCTGAAACCCAATAAGGTTAGCACCCAACATGCCCTCGAGAAGTTCTTTTCGAGGCGCCAAGCATCTGAAGACTTCTGAGGAAGGGAAAGCTATATGCAGGAAGAAACCGATTTGTGCATCCGGGAGCAATTTTCGAAGCATCGCGGGGACAAGGAGCAGGTGGTAGTCTTGGACCCAGATTGAATCGCCGCGTTTCCAATTCTTCGCAATGCGCTCCGCGAACGCCTGGTTGGTCTTGACATAATAAATCCATGAATGGTCTTCATATGCTTTGCTTTTCGGGTTGTCGGGGATCTGGTAGTGAAACACAGGCCAGAGGATTGTCTTGCAGAAATGAGTGTAGTGACCGTCAAAGTCGCCGTCGCTGACATAGACTGTCAACGATCCGTACTCATCCTCCAACTTCTCGGCGATGGCAGCTTTGGTGTGAGGCGACAATGCATCCGTGGGCATACCCAGCGTGCCAACCCACACTTTGTCCTCTAATTGGCCTGCATCTGTTGCTGATCGCACCGCATTACGCAACCCGCCGTTACCCTGCTCTGCTGTTTCAACGGTCCACTCCGCCTTCGAGAACGAAGTTTTGCGGCTGCGATCCCCGGCATTGTGCGGGGGATGTGACCGAAAGGGTTCGACCTTCAATGGTGTCTTTTCGCGAATAGGCTCCAAAACAGAGACAGTGGGCTCCTGGTGTTTAAGGATCGAAGGGGAGGGCGAAATAGGCGGCCGAGCCCTAGGCTGGTTCAGAGCCGTGGTGGCACCCCAGGCGGGAGAATGGGCTTCGCTTTCGGTGAGAAGATTTGCATCCAGCACAGTAGGAAATGGATAGCTTGAGGGTTCCTGCTCAGCCTTTGTAATGTCCGATGTGAAGATTCGCTCATGATCAGTGGTAGCCCCAGGCGTCAGGCCCGCCTTTCTACCACCATTCTGTCGTTCAAACAAGCTGATAGCAGCATTGGGCGTTGGGGTCACAGCCTGAGATGGAGGGTTCGATATAGGAGGGCTCGTTAGTGCGCCGGCTGGGTCTTCAGACTCGTTGTCATGAAAATTCACAGTATACGGCAGGAATCTGGCAGATCAAAAATGTCAGCGCAACAGAAGACAATAGGAGAGAATAGTCGACATACAATGAAGCGATGAAAATTGTCATCCTGGCTGATTGATACGGACTCTAAACCAAATGGCGGGGGAGGATGTCAGGGGAATGGCGAAGGAGGGGCTGCAGGAAATGGTAAGGAATAATGCCCGAACTGCAGTTGACGAAGAAAGGGTCATAGAAGATATAGAAGAAGTGACACGGCGACAAGGCAAAGACAACCTGGATGCTGGGCTGATACAGCTGGTTCTACCACGGATCGTTGTACTTGTCACAACCTGGACGAAAATGGCCCTTCTCTCATGGCTACGTCATGTGAGAAAAAGCTGAGGTCGAAGGCGGAAGAAGCCAGCAGGAGTGGGACGGCCCACTAAAAACCTGATAAGCAAGGGCAAAAACAAGAGAATCCAGGGTGAGAAGAAGGATGTATCTCTTTTTTTCTTAATTATTTCCAGGGTGGCTTCCGGCCTGTCTAGAAATTTTGGACTATTGACAGCGATCTACAGAGTACCTCTATTAAACTAAGAGCTTTTGTCCTCTGGATTGATCAATCACTTCGTTATTGGCTGAGATGATCGATCCTTGTTGGGTTGGTTTGCCTGACAGGGCGAACCACTGTATGCGCTCTGATTGGTCCAGAACTGTAGATTCACAGGTGGTTCGAATAGTGAGGGGCAGTGGTCACGTGCTGATAACTCGCCCTTTATCATCACATGGAAGAAGAAACCTCAGGCAGACATTTCTTATCACTCGAGGGCATCCGAAATCTTGAACGATGTCTCTTCAAGGTTTTCGAAAACCGCAGTCCTTCCCTTCTATTCTCTTCTAGCTGGGCCATGCCATTACGGATAACATCTGCTCCGGTATCTGGTATCCAAAAGAAAAAGAGACCCGCCACTTTCAAACCTCGCGCCTCCCCTTTTGCCGGACATACTCGCCAGAAAGCCGCCGTTCAATCTTCCCGCCCTTCCAAGTCTGACCAGCTAGGTGAGGTGTACACGGGTGATTTCGATCAGGGCCCACTTCCTGACTTGGGGGCTTCTCATTATGTGGCACAGATTGCTCCCGTCGAGGATGTGATTCAGGCCATCCACTACATTCGCGACAAGATGTTCGAGGATATCCCTGCTCGAGCTGGCATGAATAGTACTCGCATTGCTGAAGTACTTAATCTACGCCGGTCGCTACCTCCTCTCGCCTCGGTGGCTCATGTTCACACGCTGATCGATGCGCCTACGAAAGTGGAGAAAGAAATTGTGGATCTGGTCAATGCCGGTCGTGTTCGTCGCTTGATCGTCCCAGGAAGAGGGAATGATGCGGCAGGGCTTGGCGATTGTCTAGTTCTAACAGAGGATTGGGAAAGGCTTGTGTTGGAAAGCAGTGGCTTGGAGACCTCAGTTAAGGGTAAGTGAATGGCGTCCTGCTGCCGTACCACCTATCTGCGTTGCTCTTCCTGATCAGCTCGCAGATAAATTCCTTCAAGTTCTCGGCCAGATCGGAAACACATCGGCTATACCAGCCTCGCTTCTTTCCCAATCGGAGCGTATGGGTCTTGTTTGCGCCGGGTTTTTGGTGTCATCGTCCTCTCTCGTCAAAGGTTCCATGGGTGTCGCATCGCTTCCCGGTCTTCCTTCCTCTACTCCGGCTCCTGCTTCTCCTAGTCGGAGTGGTAGCGCCGGTCAGCCCTGCGACACTCCGAATAACCAACATCAGTCTCTATTTGAGACAGCGACCCTCTTCTTATCACTTCCCAACACTGGGCCATATCTTCGCCTTCTCGGAGCTGGTCGGAAGCATCTCCTCGCTCTTCTCAACAAATCCAGTTCTGGCGAGGCCCCCGTCTATCTTCTACGCGATCGCTGGGACGGCGCGGTTGAGACAGATAAGAGCTTCAGCGTTGCGAAGCGCGTGCGAGGTGAATTCGCTGGCATACTTCCAGGAAAGACGAGGAAGTGGAGAGATCTCTACGGCATGAATTTTGGCTGGGCTCTGGAGGAAGCTCTGGGGGCCGGGTTGATTGAGATCTTCGATACTGGCAGTGTTGGGCCTGCAGTACGCGCTCTATGAATTTGCTTTGTAGCGAAGGTCGTGCAAGGCGAATGGACTGGGTGCGACGTGAAGTTCCGCCCGCTTCCACCTTATGGAAGCACACATGTGTCTACGCTGTCCGATAGCGACACCACTACGGAAGACGAGCCATGACGCGATCGCGCAGGACGAGGTCCGGGAGGTTCGACCCGGGGAAGAATGTTTCGCTGACGGACAGCCGTGCCGTCCAGGTTGCTTTGGGTGAGCATATCGATACGCTAGCTATTCTTCTGACTAGGTGAAGACATATCAAAGCTCTTAAAGAGCTGCTGTCTGTGGAGTGCTTCATGTCCTGTCGAGGCCCGAGTACTGAAAAGCGTCTCGTGCCCTTCGATATACCCTTAGTTAGGTTTGAGATAGAAGTTGCTATAGAATACAATACATGTTTACTCAAGCCACGGCTTCTCAAGTCATAGTCCAAATTTACCCGGAGGCTCAAGATCCACATCTGGCCCTTCATGGATGATCAGCAGCCACATCCTAGTTACTATTCAGGAGCTAGCGGAGCTTACCATCCAGCTCACCTAGCTTACATCCCATCCCGCCTTCACAATTCTAATCAGGGGCCCATCTCTCAAATGGAATCTTCAGATCTCGAGTCCACAGTGTCTACACCACTCATCCGCCTCTCCCCACACCCATTCTTCTCCCTTCCCGCCCACCCCTCCCTCAGTGCATCCCCAACGTCATCTCGTCCATCACTCCGCAGATTCCTCGAAACAGCCCTATCAGAAGCCCACACTCTACTCACAGACACCATCCCGAATACCTTCAAGGTAGACCCGAAACAACGCTCCTCCCCACCCGCCACAGCCAAGGTCCAGCTCCTCAAACGCACCATCCGCAACGGCACGGGGAGTGTCCGAGGAGAGGAATTCTGGGCATGCCGGAAGAGTGTTCACCAGGATGCCGCTGTGGACGGCTCGGCTTCGTGGGAGGAGTTCCGCAGGGGATTGAGGGAAAATCATTCCGAGAATGAGATGGCGTATACGCCCAGTGTGGCTTCTGTGGAGAGGTTGTTGGAGTGGCCGACCGAAGGGGAAGTCGAGGGGGGTTGGAGGCAGGTCGGAATGCATGGTGAGTTGAGGTCTTGATCTTTTTGTGGGCTGTGAATTGCTTTGTGTAATCGTATACGACGCATACATCGATTATGTGCGCCTTGTATTTGCATCTATACAATCGATACTTGCATCAACCCTGTCTGCAGCAGGTCATATCGTTTGCTTCGTTAATTTATTCTACATACACTCAAAACACCCACGTCTATGCACCACGCATCTAGATGGCAGCCTCTAACAAGCAGCCAGTGAACATCATCACTCACACTTTCCACCCAGCAGCCTTGATAGCCCCCCGCACCTTCGTCAGCCTAGTCATCTCTGCCGACTTACCAAACTTCGACCGTCAGGGATTCACGACGGTTCAGATCCCTCTTACGGCGAAACCTACAGATGCAATTCCTCACGAGATACGGGAGAAGATTGCATCCGCCGCCCCCAGAAACGCGGTTTTTGCATCCTATGCCAGCGTGGAACAGGTTGTGTCAGTGCCAACACCGGCGGTGACCTCGAACTCAGATGCGAGGGGCAGGACTAGCGATGCCAATCAGCTGGAGTGGACGATGGCGACCACTTCGGATGCAGGCGGGGCGATTCCGCGGTGGATACAGCGAAGCTGGACGATGGGCGGAGTCCCCAAGGCAATCGTGGCCGACGTGGGTTATTTTCTCAGTTGGACGGGCCGCCAGAGAACCAATATATCAGATTCAGCTTGAACCGCGCATGTAATGATCAATAGTAGTGAAATGTCGTTAACCATGTCTAAGATCAATGTTTGATAATGCACTCCTGCTGTGTTACTCCTTTGGACTTCATTGCAGCCATAGCTGGGTACAAGGGACTATCCAGTGCTGAGTTTCTCCAAGTGGATGAAGACAACGCATACAAATACAGATTTCAATCGAACCGTCTTCCAGACGGGAAGAAGTACCTATGTGGCCCAACGAATGGATTTGTGACGCATTTTGCCAGCATGAGTTTCCAGACCACGGAGACCAGAAGGACGAATTTTGAACTCCTTACCCCCTGCGCCATAGAACCCGGAAAGACAATGCGGAAGAAAAGTATGTTATGAAACAAGATTGCGCAAAGTACAGTCAAAGACAAACCATCATACCCAGCGTTATGCAACTTTCGACATGGCGAACACCGTGACTTCAAATGGTGGAATGAATATTAGAGAGGCTAAGAGATCAAGGACGAGACGTGGGTGAGATGGTGGTAATCAGAAGCACGAATGAAAGGGAAGAAAAGAAGGAGTTCGGCGGATCAGATTCACCAGCCTTGCTTGGCAGCAAACCTCGTGTAGATATGGGATGATCTGTCGTCAAAGGCATCTAAACTCTGAGCCACAGGACAGCTGAGAGGTAGTAATCGAACACTTGCGGTAAGAAGGGGGAGAACTATTAGACATGACAAGGGACATCATATGAAAGTTTGAGGACCAATAAGAGATGAGTGCATGTCGGTCATCGCTGTCCGGTGCTGCCGGAACTGCTCTCGGGCTGAGCCGATGCGGCGCTTGTATTCGAAGGCGCTAGGTTGCTGACATTTGACGAAGCAAGTTGGGATCGTAAAGCGGCCACCTCGCTTTTCAGTCCCGCCAGTTCTTCGTGGACTGATCGGATGTAGGCCCAAAGCTTGTCCTCCCGATCTCTGCTTTGTTCTACAAAGCTGGGATCATGTGGACCGGGAAGATGAGTGCCATTGCCTGCTGTGGCATCCAGGCCAGCTTTCAAAGACAGGGATCCGCTGTGATTGGTAGAATGCCCGAGGGAAGATCCGTGTTTTGTAGCGGCCGAGGGTGGTGGCGGCTGCACAGATCCTGGATTGTGAAGGGGGAACCGCGTATCCGAGGGACCCATCCCGGGTGGAGGAGGTAGCTGAGGCGCGCCGGGTTGAGGGGGAGGAAGTCCTAAGCCAGGAGCGGCATGATTCGTAACGGGTCCCTGGGAGGGTCCGGATCGGCTGAAGGGTTGCTGCTGGAATGACTGCGACATACCGGGAGAGTGTGAACGGTGCAATTGGATACCACTGCCCTCCGGACCATGTCCGACTTGGTGCGAGTTAAGAGCGTTTGGTGAATGGGGCCTTGGGCTTTCTGTGACGTTCGTAGACTGAAAGACCGACGCACCCGAAGGCTGCCCTGGCGGTGGGAAAGTCATATTCCCGGATTGAGAAACAGGAGATGTCGACGCACTAGACCCACCGTGACTTGTGGGAGGAGGGAATAATCCTCCCGGGGAGGGTCTGCCGGCAGCTATTGGAGGGTATGTATTTGGCTGACGCGGCTGGTGGCTGCTGCCAGAGTGAGAGCGTGGAATAAAATCTGAGGGTGCATCGTGCTTTTTGATGCTGGGCATGTTGAGCCGGCGTTCATCCTCTTCATCCATTCGCTCCGGTTCGGCATAGACGAGACCGTCCATGGTATCTTCGGCACCGGGAGGAACTGCGCCCTCGCCATAATCATCCTCTGGCGCATAACTTCCCATACTCGCTCTGCGACCGGCGCAGCCGCCCTGACCTTTATTGTGTCGAGCAAGAGCATCACCGCGCGCGAATCGACGTCCACACTTCGGACAGATATGTGGACGCTCTCCGGTATGAAGCTTCGTATGTCTCTTGAGATCATGGAGTCTCCGAAAGCGCGACTGGCAGGTCTGGCATACGTACGGCTTCTCCTGGCTGTGGGTGAGAAGATGGCTCTTGAGGTTATGGTGTCTGGTGAACTCGGTGGCACAGTAAGGACAACGGTGCTTCTTGGCCGACGGTGATCGCTGGCCGCCTTTTTGGAACCCAGAATTGGGTAGACTGAGACCCCGCCGGGCATCGCCGAGATGCCCCGTAGGCATTGGGTAAGAGAAAGCCTTATTGCTACTCTCCTGCAGATCTGTCTCGTCTCGATGGCGCGGGCGATCACCGTCCTGAGAGGTAGAATCCTCTATGGGGCCCGGACTAGCCACAGTCGGGGCGGCCATTAAGGTCGAGCCGCTGTCGGCAGTACCAAAAGCCTCGGGGACGCTGCCGGAGGTATGGGCTGAATCGACTTGCATATGGTCCGACGACATGGTCATGGAGTCGTGGATGGAACCGACATTTTGCTTTTCGCTAGCACCCAGAGCCTCTCTTGCTACCAGCGAACTGTTCTGCTCGGACGCCTTTTCCGATTCCTGTGGTCGGTCCATCGGACCCTCTCTTGGTGCAGTGGTGGACATCTGGGGTAACGATTCTCTCGACCTCGAGACGTGCAGTCCGGCACTGGCGATGGACGTCAAGCTCGAATCTTGCTTCGATGGCTTCAGGAAAGCGACGGATTCGGACGGGCTCGAGATGAGTGAGCTAGGCGTTCCAGATAAGGGATTGGAGATGGCAACCGGCTCGTTAGTCGATTGCGTCAATGCAGCCATGGATAACAGATGCTTGTTGCCAGCCGGAAACGGTTGACGAGTGAATGGGAAAGCTACTTGTACGGAAGTCATGTCAGTGAATGAATATCTCTTGAGTTCAACGGCTACAGGAAGAACGAAGAGATCTTCAAGTCGGCAGGCAAAGAGGGTCCATTGAACGAAACTAAAAGGCTTCGACCAGAGGAAGAAGATGTCCCAAGAACAAGAGTCAAGTAGCACAGAATAACGAGTAATATCATTATACTGGGAAGCACCGTCGCGTGGGGCGCTCACCTGGAACCGAGTGTGGCGCAAGCTGACGGGAGTGGGAAGTTCAGCTTTCGCAAACGCCTTGTCAGACGATATGGGGGCCCACGATGAGAAGTATTGACCCGATGGCAGTGTAAAAATAGCGACTGAGCCTTGCAAGCCGGATGAGCGCCTCTGATGAATGCTGAAATCTGTATCAGGATTCGGCTAACCCATCGGGTGGGAAGAGATTTGAGGATTGTGGCGGGCGTGCCGGCGGAATGAA